ATCGAGAGGAAGGAGGCTCTTATAGTCCGGCTTAACTAGCTATCGATAGTAATAGCTACTCGGCGAGTATTATAGAGGATCTCCCGAATGTCGTCTAACGTAGCCTCTTTGTTCTTTTCGAATATAACACGCTAGGTTGTCGCGCTAAGAAATAGGGGAGGGTAGTTTGTAAGATATAGGTATGTCTTCTATATAGACTCCCTTTCGTAAAAGTCTTCCGGAAGACCGTTTATAGCTAGCATTTCGTTTACTAGTTGCTTAAAGTCTTCGGGGGAGAAATCGGTAGCCTTCAATCCTAAAGCTTCCTTAAGCGTAGCCTATAATAATTAGCTAGATCTCTACGGTTGATTTAGGTAGCCGGAATCTATAGCCGGCAGCTATAGCCGGCAGCTATAGCCGGCATTTTAGAAGATATACCTCTTTCTAGAACGCTATATCTATATTAACTCTCCTCTCTCCTTAAGATTCCCGACACCGTTTAGAATAGAGATAGTTCGTAGGCGATAAGTTCCTATCCCCTAGTTTCGGGTGTTTTAAGATTGAACCGTAGAAGTTATAGACAATTACTAGTTAACCTTTAAGTCGAGAAGTCGTATAACGGTGCAATGCCCCCTCTATAAAGAACTTCTAGAATGTGTCCGTTCGCTCCTTACTCCCCTATCGCATCGAGTATTTCTAGAGTTTATACTCCTTCGAATGTAAGTATAAAGGGAACTATATCTTATAGACCTATTAATTAAACTGCTCTATATACTCGGGTTTCTAAAGATACGCCTAGCTAGCCTTTTCGAAGATTTCCGGGTTAATACTCGATATTCTTATATCTCCGAACAACCTTCTGCTTAAACTCCGTAAAGGTAAGGACTAGGTAGTAGTACCCTATAATGAATTCCTACTACTAGGATTCGGAGAGGATAAATCTAGCCCTAATCGTCGTCTAGGACTCGATAGGCTCGAAGGTAAGTATACGACCTCCTCTCGACGTTGTCGCAATCTCGCTCGTATACTAGACTGTTTCGACTATCGTCTCGTTGTTACCCTTCCTAGTGTAGCGCCTAGTATATATACAATGTCGGTCGGTATGTTTCGAGGTTTCGTACGGTAAGGTAAGGACTTAGGAGTAGTAGATGTATACTAGTAGCTATAGAGAAACACCCTTTCTTTTATAGCATCGTATCGTTAGGAATAGCTAGGTAGTAAATAGCTAGCTACCTTTTTTTTTTGTTTCCTAGCTACCTAACTACTAGATTTTTTTTCCTAGCTACCCTAGCTAGCCTAACTACTAGAATTTCTTTCCTAGCTACCCTAACTACCTAAATTTTGCCTTCTATACGGCGGCTCTCTCCTACTAACGGAACCGAGCTACTATACCTAACGAATCTAAGCTCGTTTTTAGTCTTAATCTATCCTCTTTCGGTATAAGACACTCGATAAGCAAATGCTTAGGCCGAGTCTAACTACGAAACCTAAGACTAACTAATAGCTCTATTAACTAATCCTAATCCTCGAACTCCTTCCGCTTCTTAGTAAAGACCTTAAAGAGCGCTCGAGCTTCTTCGGGTACTTGCGGAGTAGTCGAGATAAAGCCGTATCGCTGAAATAGGTAATCCTTCGGAGGCTTATATAGAGATTTAGAGAATTCTAACGCTAACCTATCCTACTAGTAGCTTAGATTCCGGATATAAGCCCTCTCTGCCTTAGTAAAGATTTTATATAGTAGTAGCACTCTGCCTTCGAGAAACGCTTTCTGTTTAACTATTAGTATCTGCCGGCTACGAACGCCGGCTATATATGCCGAGTATAGAATAATTACCTATACCCCTTCCTCCTATAGTAACACTTCTACCGTCCCTAGATACCTAGCCCCGATCGCATTAATCGTAAGCTACTTTGCCTTTATAGACGCAAAGGCTTCGCTCTAATACTAATAAAGAAACTTCTACTCTATATCGAGGATATAAAGACGACTAGTCTCGATTCCAATCCTTGCTAGCTTTTCGTAGTAGCTTTAACTATAATTTTCTAGATTAATAGGACTTATACCTTAGCCCTTTACTAGTATCTCGTCTCTTTAACTATGCTCGATCCACTCCTAGCGCTTATCGTCTATAGCGTTAGGCCCTAAGACTGCACCTATTACTAGATCGACGTATAGTATCTCCTCGCTTTTTTTAGTTCCTTTATTCGTAGCATTAAGCTCTGTCGCGGCATCCTAAACTCTAGTATTATTGTTCTCGGCTATCTAAACATCTCCGTTACTATCGGTCGTATCGATAGAGATAGCGACTATAGGTCTAAATGCTATTAGTTAACGTGTTAAAGAAAAATATGCCGGCTATAGCTACCGGCTACGGCTGCTAGCTATAGCTGCTAGCTACGGCCGCTAGCTAGATTAACTTACGCTGCTAGAACTTTACGCTCGAAAACTAGCTACAATTCTTTCCTCCTCTTAGCCTTCTCTTAGGTTGTCTTCTTATTCTAACCTTCACTTTTTTCTATAGGCGCTAGCTATCGATAGAATGCCTTATTCCGCGCCTTTCTTCTCTTATCCTTAACTCTTTTATCCTTATCTATCTTGTCCTTTCTCTCGCGGTCTCGTACGGAATTCTTCTTCGTAGAGTACTCCTCTTTAGTCTTACGCTTTTTAGTTAGACGCTTAGGTAAAACAAACTCGCGGTCTTTAGTTCTATCTTCTGTTTAGCGCGCGGCGCGCTTCTCTCTTGCTATTGTAAGGGAAAGGGGCGGGGGCGTAGCGTATAGTAGTTGTTGTCGGTATAGGTATAGAGGAAGAAGTTGAAAGTATAAGAATATCGCGAAGCCCTAATTGTTGCCGCCTACGTAACGTTATATAGGTAAGCTTTCGTAACTACGGCAACTACGCCCCGGCAATAGCAACTACGCCCTAGCAACGGCAACTACGCCCTAGCAACGGCAACTACGCCCTAGCAACGGTAATAAAGCGTAGTAAATACAACCTAGTAACTATTATAGCCGGCAATCGTAGCCGGCAGTCGAATAAGAGTGTCCTTGTAGCAAAACCACGCCCTAGCAACAGCAACTACGCCCTAGCAACGGCAAAAGAGCGTAGTAAATGTAACAGAGTTACTATTATAGCCGGCAATCGTAGCCGGCAGTCGAATAAGAGTGTCCTTATAGTAAAACCAATATAGTCTCTAGTTTAAACTAGGAATCTATATAGTTCGAAAAAACTAAACTAGAACTAGGGAGCTAGTTCGCCGCCAAGAAACCAAACTATATACGTTTAGTAGTTCGGAAACCGAACTACTACGGGGTCTAGAGTTAGTCGATAGGTTCCTCGAAACGTACTATCTACGAAACCCTAGAAACCTCTATACTATCCTTCTGCTTTTAATAACTTCGTAAAGGCTCGAAGATTGCTATATTTGCGTAGCCGTAGGTGCTATTCGAGGAGATAGGCGAAGCGCTTTACGAGGTATTCGATTACGTCGGAAAAGATAGAGAATAGTGTCTTATCTTATAGGCCGAATATGTCCGCTAATATAGGCTAGGTATACGGAAATAAGAGCCGCCGCAATATAATATATAGTACTAATACCGGTAAGGGTTTGTAGCGCTTATTAAATACTATAGTATCGATTTAAAGGAATATTATAAGACGTAGGATCTCTTCTCGAATAAACCTGTCTCTCGAGTATTAGCTAAACCGATACCTAATCCGAGTCCGAGGGCGATAGTAAGGTAGTTAGAAGTTCAATTTCTAACCTAACTATTAATAACAACCTTCCGCTAGCGACCCGCTATCGACCTACTATATATACTTCTTATACTATCGATCGCCGACATCTTCGAAGCTCTAGTCGTACTTTTTATACTTATTTAGAGGCCGATAGTCGTCGATACGTTGCTTCTTAATTAGCGTACCCGCTAGTATTAAAATCGGTATAAAATCGTCCTTAGAGTCGCTTATAGCGATAGGCGCGACTAGCATTTACTAATACGTACGTAAAAGAGCTAGGAGCTAAGAGATATTAGACGTGCACGATTAAGACACCTAAGGCTTTATATACTAGGCTATATTGGTCTACTTGGCACTCTTAATCGGGTTGCGTTAAGGTACCCACTCTGCGTTAGAAACTAGCTACACACCACCTCTAATGTTTTCACTCCCTCCCTCTACATCTACACCGAACTAAAGAAAACGTGATTGCGGAGGACTTGCCTTCACCACGGACGGCAGTAGTGACCTTATTGCAAGACCAGAAAAATTCGCCGAAGATGCAACCGAACAAAAACAACCAAATCGGTCCGGCGCGGCGCGGAGATACAGTAAGTAGAGTAGAGAGATTCGGCTCCGAAGGATGTCTCGGCGCCAACGCCAACGCCAGCGCCAACGCCAGCGCTAGAATATTGTGTGCTTCGGAATAGATTCCTCGATCCCGCCTGGATTTTCATACATACAGTACATAGTTCTAGTTTTTAGCAACGAATCAGAACACTTGAATTTCGCGGACCGCAGATATCCCGGATCCGCTTCTAATCCGATGGGTGAAGCTACAGTACTCTGACGTTTTGTCATCCAGTGAGACTGCATTGTTGATGTTGATACAACTGGTACTGTAGTGATGATAACGATGCTTCATCTATCCATGAAGAAGAAGGAGGAGAAGAAGAAGAAGAAGATATATCTATGAACATTTCGAAGCCAGCCAGAAGCGAAAGGCCCAGAGCTCGCGCTCGCGCTCGCGCTCAACAGCCTCATCCATCATCTAAAAGCAGATCCTTCTTCTTCTTCCATGTCGAGTAGCAATCAATCAATATCCGCCGAACAAAGCGCACTCACACCACAGCCATGCTTTCGTAAACGTCTCGTAGCCCGCCACCCAGAAGCCTTTGCCGCATGCATTCACGCCGGACAGAAAGGCAATGTAATCATGTGCAACAACAACAACAACGCCTGCCGCCATTTTGTGTGCGGTGCGGGGCCGCATCTCGATCCCACAATCGGTCGAGCTTGCCAGCTCCACGTCACCAGCCGTCTATAATCTATCTTCTCGTTATCTTCTGTTTCGTGTCATATCACTGTAGCCGCTCCTTTTCAAATGTCGATCAAAGCAAACCTGCGCCGCCCAGAGCTCGAGAGTGAGCTTTCTGCATCCTGACAATGAATCAATCACACATCGGATCAATCTGGTCAAGTTCCGATGCCAACTTTTATCCCGCCCGCGAATCGAAGAATGAGAAACGCTGCAATGTCGTAACTGAACGCTATACTGTATTGGTCTGCACACCGGCAACCGGACTGTCGACTAGACTGTTGTAGGGACGAAAGAGCAGCTTCATATCCAGAGTGAGGTTGTCGAGGCCATACTGGTCGTCAATGTCGCCGACAGAGCCAATGTCCTGGCCTTTGGTCTCATTGTCGCCCACAACCATGCTCTTGATGCGCTTGAGGAGAGCCATGACTCGTCGGAATCGTACATCCCCTGGGACGTTGAAGTCAGAAGCCTGCTGGGACTGGAGGAAGCTGCGACCAAGGTAGAAAAAGTGGACACCATCGCGACTAAAGCCGAAGCGTCGTTGTTGGTAATGGTGTGGTGGATATTGGAGCTCCATGTCGGTATCCCAGTTTCGCTTCCACTTCTCGAGAGCCTGGCCGAGACGCTTCTTCTCCTGCTGAGCAGCCCTGTTCTGCTGTTGCTTGGGACTAAAGCCGCCAGTGGGTGTTGCATGACCACTGTTATTGGCGCTGCCGCCACCATGCTGCTCCAGCCAGTCGTTCTGAGATAGCGGCGTCGCAGGAGTGCTGCCATTGAGGCCAAGTTTGAAGTCATGGTAGCCTCCATCAGGCTGAAGCAACGCTTTCTGGCAGACGATGATGCGAATGATCAGCGCATGGATGAGCATGAACTTTGAGTAGACGTTCGTGGTGCCTGGCTGGAAGGATGCGTATTGGTCGAGAAGGGTTCGCATGGCGTCGCGCATCGTCGGCTGGATAGGCTTGCGTGTGCCCGTCATGTTTTTGGCTTGAGCATCCGGGCCACTCAATCCAAGGGCGTTCGCACACTCATGGGCATTTGCTGCGTCCCACGCGGCGTCGTCGGCAGGCAGCATCAGTCGGACCTCCAAAGGATCGAACTGAGGCGTGCTGTTGAAGTACATGACCATGGCAGCGTCGGTGACAAGAAGCTGGTACAAAGCACGATTGCGCTTTTCTTGCTCGAGCCAGCCGTGCCAGTTCCAGTGCTCCATTCGATAGAGATTCGCTTGAGAGTTGCGACCAGAATGTAGCATGCTGTAAGCGTAGTGACCAGGCGCCGCAGTGTCGTACAAGTTCATCGCCTTGGCGATGCGGACGAGGGTTGGGAATTCATCCCGTGCACCTTGTCGTTGCGTTGGGTTTCCATGCCAGATGAACATGGTCTGTAGCATGGACAGCGCCTGAAGCTCTTCCACCTCGAATGGCTGGTCACCGAGACCTTCAACATGTCCGTTGAGGGTCCGGTTATAGATGGTGCAATTGCTGAACACGATGGCCTTCACGAACTCCATCAGCTGCCTCGTCTGAGTGACTGTAAACTTCGGGCTGTAGACAGCGCCAATGCACAAGATTGCCAGGACCAGGTTGTTGTTGGCATTGGTGAGCTTGAAAGTTGGCATGTGCAGGATCGGCCAATGTCCTTGGTACGAGGTGTAGTGCTCCGCAAAATGCTTGACATTCTCAATCTTGAGGACACTCTGCATCAGTTGAGCGGCGGGGCTTCCTTGGGCGGAATCCTCGCCGTGTGGGAAGCAGTGGTGCATGAGGCTGTCGACCTTGGCTTGAAGGGGATCGTCCATACTCCAGTTCGGAAAACCAGGAATGCTGTGATCCGTTTCCTCGCTCCCGAAGCCACCCGGGTGCGAGTACAGACTACCTAAAAAAGACTCGTTGCTGTAGTCATTATGCTGCGTTGAAAAGTCGTGCTTTGTATCTGGTTCGGTCTTGATGTGAATATTTCCTTGCGAGCTCGCGTTCGCAGAATGGCTGCCGATAAAGCCATCCTGGCCGTTTTGCGTAAACATGCGGTTCCAATCGACACCGCTCCCATCACCACTTTGCAGTTGTGGATGATGGCTGTTCACCTGACTGTTGTCGAAGCGCGAGCTCTGATGGCCTAAAAAAGACATCGGCTGTGGGTTCTGTGCGGTGCTGTACGGATTGCCGTTCATCTGCGGCTGATTAAATTGGTAGCCGGAAGGCATGTGCGCGCCGTTTGTGTTGTTCTGCATCGAATAGGCGTTCAGGCCCGGCTGGTAGGGCGCAGAAGTTCCTTGCTGCATCTGCTCGGCGTGCGGCGCGTTCGAGCCGAGGATACCAAGCCCCGCGAGGCTGTTACGCTGGCTCATAGCACCGCCGCCAATCAAGCTGTTGGCTCGTGAGGACCGGGCAGATAAGTCTCCGTTGACATTGGGACTGCTACCCACACCGTTGGCATTGTACGTGGACGAGCCAGACACATCAGGCATACCTGCTAAACCAATTTGCCCCTCCTGCTGACCGATAGAAAGTCTGTTGCCACTGTTCGTGTTACGGCGTTGGTGAGCCAAGTGATTGGCTCCCGTTGGATTGCCTCGTCGTAACGAACACTTCTGAAAGTGCCGCTTGAGGATATCACTGCGACTAAAGGTGTCTTTACACAAGTGACACATGTAGGGGCGATCGCCAGTGTCTGGTAGGCGTTAGATGAATACAACCGTGCAAAGAAAAAGAACTTACGGCGCAGAAGATGGCGCTTCAAGTGCTTCGCGTGAAGATATGTCTTGTTGCAATGCGGGCATGGATACTTGCCATCGGCATCTTTTTGAGGAATCATGCTCTTGGTGGCTGTGGCACCTTGTGCAGGCGGAGGTCTACCAGGCGCGCTCGGAAGCACACCACGACGGCCTTGCGAGCCGACGACGTGTGTAGGCGCCTCCTCGTTCTGCATGAAAGATGGCTGCTGGCCCATGTGCACCATGTGTCCTGCGCTCGCGAGACTCGGCAAGCCATTGACTCCAGAGACACCACCAGCAGGCATAGGACGAAGTGTGGGCAGGCCAGCAGCCGTTGTCGTTGTTGGCATAGAGGTCGAGACCGAGGATGGATACATGATGCCTTGCGAGACACTGGCGTAGGGGTTGCTCAAGCCGCTGGGAGGCAGCATGTTCGCGCCAGCACCGGCAGGCATTTGCGCATAGGCGCTCTGGTTGTTCGGCTGGGAGGGAGTGTGCGGCGTGGTGGGCGTCTGAGACTGGCTGGCTGGGTGCGGGTAGGACAGCGAGCCGAAGGAGAAGCCATTCTGGTTCTGCAGCGGCGGCAGGGTCGGGTGCGAAGGCGACTGTTGCTGCTGCTGGCCTTGCTGCTGGCTCTGAGCAGACAGCGAGCCAAATGAAGCTAGACCTGGCTGCTGCTGTTGTTGTTGCTGCTGAGCAGAGGACTGCTGGGTCGGATTTTGCGGGGCGAGATTCTGCGGGTTGGCTTGGTACGGATTGTAACCGCCATTGAAGTGGTTGCTATCCATACTTGGGATTTAGAGATGGGAGTAGAGAGGGCGGAGAGGGTGGGGACGACTCCAGAGTTTCTTGTCGTCGAGCATGCGCGGCGCGGCGCGTGTGGTGGAAATTTCAGCGAGCCGCGAATCGAATTTTGCTCGCGAGCGGTGCAGAGTGTCGTAGGGAAGGCACGCTCGCAGCACTGCCGTGCCGGACGGGAGAGCGCGTGGTGTGAGGACAGGGTAGGATCGGGCAGGGCCAGCGATCTCTGTAGAGACAGCAACTGCGGTGGTCGAGGTGAGTGCGGACGGAGCAAGCACGCACGCAAGCACGCAAGCACGCAAGCTCGCAGCGCTGTCAAGGCAGAAAGGCAAGGCAAGTGGAACGGGAATGTCGTACTTGGGGCAGGTCGTGGGCTGCGGGCTGGCTGGTGCTTTGTGCTTGGGTGTGTGGCTCGCCGCTCAGGTCGCACCCGCAGCGCAGCGGCTACGGAGAATCGTCGGCGAGGAAAATTCCTACGCGCAGCAGCGCCAGAGGCAGAGCCGGCGATGATGTGCGGTGACGCGTGCCGCACGCTGTCGCTGTCGCTGTCGCCGTCCGCCCGAGATGCTGTCGCAGTGTCGAAGGCAGGCCGGTGGCTGCAGCGCCGTGCAGTTGACGCGGTGCGGCTGTCGCGCTGGCCTGGCCTGGCCTGGTCGAAAGCCGAAGAGAGATTTTCCAGAGTGGAGCGGCTGCTCAGGAACAGGCGGGAGGGAGGCGGAGGCCCACACGCCGAGCGCGACGAGGGTACCAGATCGATTCGCAGAGAACTCTGCTGATGAGCTGCGAGTCACGACTACTCCCAAGCGTGTCTGGTTGTTGCCGGCTCCACTCCCACGCTCCACCTCTGATGATGGAATGGATGCTGGTGATGGACGACTCACGAGAAAGATGAAAGGGAATAAGCGCGAACGCAGAGGGTGTTGAGAAGAGATGTGAAAAGCAGCCGGCACCGTTGGCCGCAGCTACGTCAACCGTCAACCCATTCGTCGCTTTGAAGCTTGGCCCGTCTCGGTGTAGTCTCGACTCTCTGCTGATGCGCCATGCATTTACAATACAGCGTCTTCGCACATCGGAGTGAAAGTCAGTATAACCCACATCTTGAAAAGCAAGGATTACAGCAAATAGTCACTTATCATTCAGCGGTCCGGCCCTAGTCACTTTCACTCCGATGTGCGAAGACGCTGTAATGCCAATACTGTCTCCGAGCTACTACGACCATTCCCGGCAAGAGTAAGTTGTCGAGCGTGCGCCCGTTGCCTTGACTCAGGCTGTCGAGTTCAAGACTATTGCTTGCCCCTGCCCTTGCCCTTGCCCTTGCTTGCCTCTACCCAATCTGGCCGCCATCACGTCTGATCCGATGCACCTATTATGAAATATTACCACTGCCTCCGGCTCAGCAACTCTCATCAGTAGTTACATTCATTTTGCCGACCGTCACCCGTGCCATCCGCATTGCTAAGAACAGCTTAGGTAGCGTCACATCGCTTGTCGACGTGTCCTGCAACAACCGACATCCAGGAGACTGCTTGCTTCTGCTCATTACCGCTCTCGAGCGCCTTGGCCCTCATCACCTATCGGCTTCTCGTGCGACCGCCATGTACGCTCCGGTTTGTTCGGCGTATGAAAGCCGCACACCCATCCTTTGGGCGTAGCTCGATACGCTGGCGCCTGCAGACTGCTTCCACGCCAGCCGGCATTGTCCAGCACGTCCAATTGCAATCCATGCTACATCATCTATGCCTGCGCGCGCCTAAGCAGCAAAGGATGCATCTGGCACACCTACCCTGACTGTATGCCCGAAGCGAGTACGCAATGGCAATCATCCGTCTTCATCAGAATACTGAGCCTGAGCTGAGGCTCGTGCAAGAACGGGGAGTCTGAGATTGTCTCACTAGCTGTCTCTGATCATTGAGCTTGGCGCCACGAACTACGCCTTGGGCAAACGCGCCTTCTACCTCTCTACTGTAAATCTCTGCATAGTGATTGAGGTTCACCGTGTTTTGAGGATCGGCTCTAATGAACACCTTATCCTTACAGTGTATATAAGGTATTCACATACCCTCGGCAGGTTAGGTACGTAATCAACCTGTATAGTGGCCCGTGCTTAGCGTATCCTCTAGGTATCTTAGTTAGAAACAAGCTAATACGCGTTACTTATAGTATATATACTTGTATTTATATACCTACTAAAGGACAGACCCGTATTTATAGTATTTATAAATATATAACTATAGTACGTAAGTAGGGACCTAAATTACTATCTCTATATTCGATACTATAATACTAATCTATCCGGGGTTCCGTTAGATACTTTAACCCGCTATTTGCGAGGTTTCTAGCTATACGTAAAATCGTATTTTCTTAGTAGGCTATATATAAAACTTAATAAAGTAGTAGTTTCTAGTCCTATTCCGATATCTAGTTATATATAGTATAAAACCGCGAGTCTAAATATTATATTAGCGAGTTTATCCGAGTATATAGTAGCTACGTATAGACCTTACTGTCGCTATTTTTTCTTATATCTCTTAGTAGGCGCGTCTAAACTCTAAACGGGTATGCCTATACCGTTCCTCGGACTTTCCTACCTACTACGACAATTATTAGTAGGATATAGTTCTACTTTAATAGTATACGGTCGCAATATAACGGAAATCTACTAGCCTATAGCTCTAATCGTAGCCTTATTTTCCCGGTATACGTATACTACAACATCGGGAACATCGAGTTTTACGTATAGCCTACTAGCAAATTGCGATTTTACGTATAGTTTGAATCCCCGAGCTAAGGCGAGGGGTCAAGTAGACTGACGCAACCCCGGATATGATCCGACCAACACGCGTCGCCCATAATCTCCGATCGAGATGAGCCTGTCTCAGCCTATGCCCTCTGCCCCCAAACCACACTCTTGTCAATACCATCCTCCGAACTCTTTTGCGTCCCACGCAGCTGTACGCTCAGTTCGGGCTTCTTGGCAAGCGTCTGGAAAACGACACAGTATCGCTCCGTCAGCTTTCCAAGCTTCTCAACCTTCTCTTCGGGAACATCTGCTCCATCTGCAAAGGTCAAATCGAATGACAGGCGAATGTCCTTGAAGCCAACTGGCGCATTTCTGTCCACGCCCATGGTTCCCTTGAAATCCAAGTCACCCTCTGCTTTTACCGCACCCTCTTTTATCGGAATATCCATTGCTGTTGCCACCGCTTTTAATGTCACGCCTGCGCATGCCACGAGGGCTTCTAGCAACATGTCACCACTGCACAGCTCTCCAGACACTTCGAACCCCTCCCCTCCCGCCTTTTGATGCAGCCCAGCAATCCTTTGCTGTGCCTGCGCCATTTGCTTGCCGGTATCGAGCTTGCATGTTATGCTGCTTGAATCGAGCGTGCCCGAGGCGTTCAATGTGATAATGGCGGTGTTCGGATCGTCTTTGTATTGCTGCTTGATAGGAGCTTGCCGGTCGCGGAGCGCTTGTGCAGCCATACTGGAGAAGTGGATTGAACACGACTTGTATCGATTTCTTCTTGAACTGGCTCTTGTTCTGATCTTGACTGACTCTGGTCCCGAGTTTGCTGAAACACCGCAATACGTTGTTACTCTGAGGGACATATGAAGTGGATCCAAGGCACTTTATACCTTCGTTCTAGACAGCCCCCATTGCATGCCCCGCAGTTGTCCCTCCATGCGCGTTGCAGGCTATCCATACCACCGAGGAACAGCTCCTGCTGGTACCTGCATGCGTTTCGTCATAGCATTAGAGTCTGGGAAGAGAACCAACACAATAATGTACACTGGCAGGAAACGTATGAAGCCTTGCAGCCATACAAAAAGTGAGCAGAAAGAAACCAACCAGCATTGGCGTTCTCGTTGTACTCGTCACTCACGGAAGGCCAAAAGAAGCAATCCGTCGAGCTCTTCCCCTCTTGCCCCTCCACACGCAGGACATCAGCAGTATATATACATTCTGGACTTGGTATAGTAAACATCTGGGCCCGTGTGCTTTTGGTTGAGCTTCATCATGGCCGTCGTTGTGGAGCAAACGATACCTTTCGATCCTAAAGTCCTTGACATCGAGAACCCAAGCCGTTGGAACGGGCTCTTTCCACTTATTCGGCCAGCAGTGAAGGCTACGCAAACCGCCAAAGGTCAGACGATCCTGGTAGATACATCCAAGGCGAATAGTAAAAACGTGCACATCGTAGCCATTGGGAAACCCGGGAACTTCTCCTCAAAGCTTCTGGACGAGAAACATGTCACAGCGATAGTGACAGAGCAAACCGGCGCCGGTATTCTCCACCCGACAGATCTACCATATGCTTTAGAAAATGCTGGTATCAAAGAGAATCATGGAGTTGTGGTTGTGAGGTTAGGGAAGAAGCGAAATGTCGATGCACACAACCCTGACCTCATCGAAGTGGTGGCTGAAGGCGAACTGGAACAAGACCACCTCTTACAACTTCTGGGCACTGCCACCGATACTGCTAGAAGCAACGTCCATCACATATCGGATCTCCTGAAAGCTTTCGCCGAGTCTGTCAGCACTGCACACTCGACGTTCCACACCGAGAAAGTAGAAGGTAACCCTGCAGTACTACACGCAGATGGACCAGTCGGTTTCGAGAAGGCGAAGGACGCAGTTGAGCGAGACCTCAAGCATGCCATGAAATCCCACACGCCTAGAGACGAGTTCGTCTACTCAGTCCACTACTCAGACATCAACGGCCTTAGCAGGGTGGAAAACTACATCATCGCGGGGGACATCGCAAAACTGCTCGGTATGTACCATTCCAATACGAAGTCCCCCCTCCCCTTTCACTGACACGATCTTCTATCACCACAGACGCCCAAAACATCCCTTACACCCTCTCCCACAGCACAATCCTCAACCACACCACCAAAGCCCGCGGTTTCTCAATCTCCATCGCCTCAATCCCCTCCGCCTACCTCTCCCCCTCCCCAAAACCCACCCCTCACAAACCCACCGAACCAACTTCCACCCCCACCAAACCCTCCTCCACCACCACCACCACCACCACCTCTGGCAAAACCCTCCTCCTCACCACCCCCCAAATCCTCACCCGCATCCAAACCGCTTGCCACGCCCTCATAACCTCCGAACCCACCATAACAGAATACGACACAATCGTCGGCGACGGCGACTGCGGCCAAACCCTACGTTCCGGCGCCCAAACAATCCTAAACTACCTCTCCACCTCCACCACCACCACCAGCACTCCCCTCCCCGAACTCCTCACCTCCCTCGTCTCCCGTCTAGAACTCGACATGGGCGGCACAAGCGGAGCGCTATATTGCATCTACGCAACCTCCCTCTCCCACTCCCTCCGCACAACCTCTTCCATCTCCCCCCAAGCTCTCTCCACCGCGTTAAAAGCTCTCTGCAACTTCACAAAAGCTCGAAAAGGGGATCGAACGGTCATGGATGTTTTGATGCCGTTTTGCGAAGTTTTCGAAGAAAGTCTGGATGCGGGAAAGGCTTTGGAGGCTGCGAGGTTGGGGATGGAAGGGACGAGAAATTTGCGGGCGAGGTTGGGGAGGAGTGCGTATCTTGATGAGAAAGCGACGAGGGGCGTGCCGGATCCCGGGGCGTTTGGGTTGTGGGTTGTTTTGGGGGGGTTGTGTGGGGAGGGAGGGATGAGAGAGGGATAGGTGGAAAGGAGAAGGGAGCGAGGGTTCGTCGTTTGCAAGGAGGAGGAATTGTGTATGTGAAAGGTTGTGAGAAAGCAGGAACCGTCATTTTTTTCTCGTTTCCTTCAAGATTACTAGGTTACATTCATCGATCGCCTCCATCTTCATCCTCCCTTTCCCTCACCTCAAAAATCGACTCCTCCTAATCATACTAAAAGGTGGCGGCACACAATAAAGATATGCCCTCTCACACGTTTTGCAAGGCCAGAAAGCAGGATACTCGCATTCCACATTTCTCGCGACACACTGCTGACACTTCAACTTCTGAATAGGTCCTGACGGCACTCCAAAGGATGTTTTGTCTCCTCCAGCGACTGAATCTGTCCGGGCGCCTTTGACGCCTGCTGGAGTTGACGCATTGTTGGAAGAAATTATAGCGTCTAGCTTGCGTTTGTAGCTCACCAATTCCGGTGCGAGGGTTCTTCGTGCGACTGAATCTGTCTGAGGGCTTTTGACGCCTGCTGGAGCTGACGCATTGTTGGAAGAAATTATAGCGTCTAGCTTGCGTTTGTAGCTCACCAATTCCGGTGCGAGTGTTTTTCGTCCCTTGTTTGCAGTCGATGCGAGGCTTGGTCCTGCTTGGGCTTGCGCATTACCCGCCGAAGAAGAATCTGCCTTCAAAGACCCATCTTGCCCTGCTAGACCAAAGTCTGTGTTCATAAATTCCTCCCATTCCGAGTCCGTGAATGGTGCAGCTGGAATGTCTCGGTTGCTCGCTTCCTCCTAGGCTTGCGCATTACCCGCCGAAGAAGAATCTGCCTTCAAAGACCCATCTTGCCCTGCTAGACCAAAGTCTGTGTTCATAAATTCCTCCCATTCCGAGTCCGTGAATGGTGCAGCCGGAATGTCTCGGTTGCTCGCTTCCTCCTAGGCTTGCGCATTACCCGCCGAAGAAGAATCTGCCTTCAAAGACCCATCTTGCCCTGCTAGACCAAAATCTGTGTTCATGAATTCCTCCCATTCCGGGTCCGTGAATGGTGCAGCTGGAATCTGTCGGTTGCTCGCTTCGCCCTGATGTTCCTCAGCGCCTGAGTCGAAACCCATAACCAAATCGAGGCCTGAACTTCCGTCCTACGCTAGTCCAAACAAATTCGAGTCCTCCTCTGGAACTTGCTGCTCGTCTGAGGTGTTCCGAGCCTGCTGATTGCTTGCCTCTCTTCGTTGTTCGTCTATGCCTGTGTGGAAACGCAGGGACGAATCTGCAACGGAAACTCCCTTCTGCGCTTGTCCAAACAGATTCGGAGCCACATCCGAGATTTTTCGTGCGTCTGATATCTCATGACCATACTGGCTCTCTGATGTGCCGGCAGTGTAATTTGGGAAGATACTGTCGGAAGGGTCCAAGCTGGGGTTGCTCCAAGGAGGAGCTTGGCCGACGGGAAAGTTCCAATACTGTGCAGAGGTCATATGGTCGTGGAGAGGTCTTTCATTTGTACCCTGAGCCGGCAGAGACTTCAGAGATTGCTTGTGAGATGTTGGATGTCGGCGAGTCAGCGGCGGGAAGTCCGGGATCCGTAATGGTCTGCCTGGCGGACCAACGGTGTCAGGCGGCGGCCACAGCATCTGCGATTTCCCCTTCTACAGTGAATCGGTCATGCAAGAAGGTGTCGACCATTGCCCCTGCCGTCCTTTCGGCGACCATGTCACGTAAAGACTGCTCTTATTAGGGGGTTGGTAGTACACTTTGACATCACTTCCATCGACCACGGCTGCCAATGGTGACTTTTCTGCGACCTGTACACGTTAGCAGATGCTTCGAATGTGAGTCGGAAGACGGTCTCCTGGAACTTCGCGTACCTGAAGATGCTGATCATCCAGGCTCCCTCTTTCCCAGCCGCCCTCGCCGTCGGATTTGATCTCGCACAGGTATGAATGCTCGTTAAAGTAGTAGATTCGCCACTGCAATCACCAAGTCATTAATTCTGTTCGGCCGGATATTCATGTTGAAAGGGTAAGACTTACCATCTCGGCCCCATCATTCTCGTCGGTATAGTCAATGGTGGCGAGTCGTGGATCACGCGCTCTGACCAGAACAGGTCTGTTGTCGATTCTGGGCGCAGTGAGGATGTACTTCTCGTTGCTCTCGGCGCGATCCTTCTCCGTCCCAGCCGGCGCAGTATAGACACAGATATACCGATCGCGGTTGATCCAGACTATGTTGGCTGCATTCCCAACCATGACGGCCACAGCGTGTGTGGGTGTCACACCATCATTACGCGGCGGCGGATTCCGGGAAGCCATGATTTCTAGAGGCTTCGGCTCGTTGTGCGATTCGGCTGAGATAGAATATTGTGATTCTTATGTAGCTGCACTGTGAGATAAGCGCGGGTGGCTACGGTATGATGTAGAAGTTCAGAGAACGCGGGTTGCGGCGGGAGTTGAGATGTCGGGTTTGCAACGACTACGTCCATGCGGAAAGTGCGATATGAGTGCTTATATCCTTCGCGAGTAGCGCAGCGTGAAAGTGTGGTAGCGACAACGTGCCAACGTGGTTCCAACGAGTGGCAGCCACGAAGGCTTGGCAAAAACCGACATCGGCCGGCACGCCTTACATAATGTTCCGGCTGCGTCACGATAAGAACTCTGGTATGGCATAGCAATGGCAATGTGAGAAGCGACGTGATGCAGTGGGATTCTAAGAGGAGCATATAGAGCTGATCTCGATCTGACAGCGATTGGCTGAACTAGGAAGTGTTGTAGACCACTATCGCGTTCCAAGACTGGCAGCTTGCAATGTATTTGTTTTGATTACTAATCGTATATATATCTCAACTACCGAGGCTAGTAAACTTCGATAGCTAAAGGCTCTTAGACTCTATAACTATAGGCCTAGGTATCTTTATATTATATATAATATAGCTATTTATAAGGTTCTAGGAATACGATACTAGTTTTAGAGAATATTATAATTTTAGTTTCTATATATATCTATACCCTAGTTTATAAAGGAAAATTTACTAATCTTACAATTCTGAATTATAGTTATGCTTTTTTAAGTTATATAGTAGTTTATTCTAGCTATAGTATATAGTTTAGTAGGGCTTAATATAAGTACTAGTATCTAAGTAGTAGTTCGCTACTAGTCTAGACGCGCGCTATTAATTCCCTTAGACTCTTAATTAGTAGGCTTTAAATATTTAGTTAGAAAATTAAATATATCTATAGCAAATACTAAGTACTACTTAGCTAGTTACTATAGTAAGAGAGAATAGAACTTTAGCTATATACTAAAATAGCGATTTAGACTTCTAACTTTAGTAGTAAATTTACTAGTAGTAAAAGTTATTAAACTTAGCTTAAAATATATAAATAAAACTTAATTATTTAGGCTATATATAGAATATATACTAAAAGAATAGATATACTACCTTAGTAGAGGCCTAGATATATTATATATAACCCCTAATTACTAGTAGCTATCCTCTAGCTAGTAAGTCTAGTAGTATAATTCTTAGAGATTAATAGCTTTAAGCTATACTATCTAGCTATTATAGATTTAGCTATTATACTAGTTATTTCTATTACTCGTCCCCCGATAAATTATATAGTTTAAAGTATAGAATACTAATTAAAATTACTAACTTCGAAATAGAGATAGTTCGATTAGTAGAGGTCGATTAACGGTTCGACTAATAGTTCGATTAATAGTTTAATTAATAGTTTAATTAATAGTTTAATTAATAGTTTAATTAATAGTTTGATTAATAGTTTAATAAATAGTTTGATTAATAGTTTGATTAATAGTTTAATTAATAGTTTAATTAATAGTTTAATTAATAGCTTGATTAATAGTTTAATTAGTAGTTTAATTAATAGTTTAATTAATAGTTTAATTAATAGTTTGATTAATAGTTTGATTAATAGTTTAATTAATAGCTTGATTAATAGTTTAATTAGTAGTTTAATTAATAGTCTAATTAATAGTTTGACCAACCGTTTAATTAGTAGTTTAATTAGTAGTTTAATCAATAGTTTAATTAGTAGTTTAATTAGTAGTTTTAGTTTAATAGAAATTTTAATTAGTATTTTACTAGTAGCTAGTCCCCCGATAAATTATATAATTTAAAGTATATAGTACTAAATTACTAACTTCTAAATAGAGATAGGTCGATTAGTAGGTCGATTAGTAGGTCGATTAGTAGATCGATTAGCAGTTCAATTAGTAGTTTAGCTAGCAGTTCGATTAGTATTTTAATTACTAGTAACGGTTTAATTTAAAATTTCGTTAGTAGTTTAAGAAGTAGTTTAACTAGTAGCTTAACTAGTAGTTTAATTAGTCGTTTTATTAGTAATTATATAAATAGCTTAATTAACTATTTAATTAATAGTTTAATTAGTAGTTCGATTACTAGTTTCAGTTTAACGAAAATTTTAATTAGTATTTTATTAGTAGTTTCTTTAATAGTTTTATTAGTAGTTTTATTAATAGTTTTATTAGTAGTTTTGTTAATAGTTTTGTTTCTAGTTTAGTTAGTAGTCTTAGTACTTTAATTAGTAGTCCTATTCGTAGGCTAGCTCGTAGTCTTAGTAGTTTTACTAGTAGTTTTATTAGTAGTTCTATTAACAGTTTTATTAGTAGTTTTATTAATAGTCCTATTAGTAGTTTTACTAATAGTTTTACTATTAGTGCTATTTGAGTTATTAGTTTTATTATTAGTTTTATTATTAGTTCTATTATTAGGTTTACTAATAGTTTAGCTAAGAGTTTATCTAATAGTCTATCTAATAGTTTACCTAATAGTTTAATTAATAGGTTTGTTAATAGTTTTCTTAATACCTAGTCCTACTAATAGTCTAATAGTCTAAAGTTACTAGTAGCTCTACTAATAGCTTTATTAAAATTAATAGTACTATTAGTAATCTTACTAATATTTTCGCTACGGGGACCTTTATACTAGTCGATAGGCTTTATATTTAGTAGGATATAGCTATATCTAGGTCTTTAGTATACGTTAAGCTCCTACTAAATTTTTATTAGCGTATTACGCTTATATCCGGGATTCGTTAAGCGCTTTCGATTTACGTTCTATGCTAAAATCCGGGGTAAGTCAAATTTCCCTTTAATATTTGTTTCGATTGACGTTCTACGCTAAAATCCGGGGTAAGTCAAATTTCCCTTCAATCTTTGATTGCATATTACTTCTGCGAAATTTCTTAGCCAATCATTTCGGTCTTGGCGGACAACTTGGATTTTCGCGGGCGGTGGCCGCGGTGTCTAGATTGGCAGCTGCGCTGCCAATAATAGCCTGTGCAGCCAGGCGAATCGCGAATACTTCGGGACTGCAGGCGCTTAACATTAAATACTGCAGATGGCTTCAGCTACACCGACCAAACCGACGTTGTCTATAGTTTTTGGTATGCTGAGCACCCTACCCCTCCCTCCAAACGTAAGGAATGGTCCATACATGGGAAGGCGGTTGTGATTACAGGTGGCGGCTCCGACATTGGGAAAAGCTTGACTCGCGCCTTCGCCGTTGCTGGACCTTCTCAAATTACCGTCTTGGGAAGAGCAGAAAATGTGTTGGAAGCGACTAAGCAGGAGATCGAAGCCCAGGATGAGGAAGTGACAATCAGCGTCCACGTTGCAGATCGGACGCTGCCGATCTTGCATCAATCGCAAAGGCTGCTTCCCTCATAGGTCGTTGGGATGTTCTGGTGTTCAACGCGGGCTATCTCTCTGACATCAAGCCGCTCATGGAATCGGATCCGGTGGAGTGGTGGAAATGATTCGAGGTGAGATTGCGTCGTGAAGCTATCGCGCAAAAGCTTTGTGCTCATGCATAGCACAGGTCAACGTGAGAGGGCTGCTCAATCTCACACAAACGTTCTTGCCCAGCCGGAGACCGCAAGCTACTCTGATCGGTGTCAGCGCAGGTTCCATTCGGGTTGAGGCCAGGTCCGCTGAATGGTCGTCGTAAAATTCCAGCAAGTTCGCCGGCATAAAGATGCTGGAGAGTGCGGCTGCTGAGATGCCGGATGTGCACGTTGTGAGTATGCATCCCAGCCTCGGTAAGTCCAGGTCTCGTCAGCAAGAACGATATGTTCTGCTCATACTCGCGGTCGAATCTGATATGGCAGCCAAAAAGCAATGCCTGGCAAAACCGAAGCACCCGAACCGGACAATTTCGAGCTTCCATCTCATTTCGCTGTCTGGCTCTGCAGGTGCATCGCCGATGCTGAGTGCTGATATATGTCTCATCTATCCGGTGTAATTGGGATGTCGATGAGCTGCAGGCGAAGAAGGCAGAGATTGAAGCTTCTCTGTTACTGACGGCGAATTGCATCGGATAGCCCTACTCTCCGTAGATGCATGTCATACTCAGTCCTCCATCTCCACATCATCCACAGCCTTGCGCTTCTTGCTTTTCTTCTCCGCGCCATCCTCGCTCTTCCGCTTCTTCTTTTTCTTCTTCTCTCCATCCTCTTGAGGCGCCTCGAAGGCCTCTTCCCTTTTCTTCTTGCGCTCCTCCATCTTCTCCTTCATAGCCTCTTCGCGACGCTCCTTCTTCGCGCGCTCCTTTGCAGCGTTGTTCAAGAAGTATTCTCCACTCTCGATCTGCAGATCAACCTTGCTCTTTTCTTGTGCTGGTGGGAATGGCGTGTAGACCTTCTTGCTCTTGTCGGTGACGTTGAACGGCTTTCTGCGCTTGGCCAAGTTGCGCTTCTTGAAGTGAGGCAGGAAGCGCTCCCAATTTTCATTCTTCAGCTCGGGATCCTTTGCCAGCTCGCGCTTGATCATGAGCTCTTTGATGTGGTAGATGGGGTGGATATTGGCCATGCAGTCCTCCACCACGCGCCGCACCTCTTTTAAATTTTTGTATCCGCCCATGACTGACACCGTATTTCCCTGCACAAGGATGTATGTCTGGGTGAGCAGTTCCAGGGCTTTGAGTGTGCTGCCGTTGGGACCAAGAATACGTTGCCGTCGCTTGACGAATCGCTCTTTATTCCGCACCATGCCACGGATTTTGATGACATCGCAGGCCATTCCATCCTCGAGAATCTTCAGGGCCTGCGGTGTAGGCACACTTCGAGCTAGAAGCTTGATCAAGTCGCGGGCGTTCAGGATGGCGGCGGGATCGAATGTCTTTCGCGTTGTCTTTACAGTCATGCTGCCCTCAACCAAGTCGAGCGTGCATGCGATTCCATGCTTCTCCAGCTGTTTGGTGATCGTTGGCCAGGAAGACTTCAGATACTGCTCTCGATATTTGGGGAAAAGAGTCGCGAAGGACGATTCCTCGCTGAATGTGCCGCCGGCATTTTGATCGGGCGTGAAGGCTTCTTCCTTCCATTTGTCGATGTCGTCCGTATCCCACGGCTTGTCCTTCTTGTACGTTGAAGGCATCTTGCCCGTCTAGCCTGTGAGATGTGGATTGTCGCGAGGCAGATGTTGACTCGCCAGAATTTCCAGAAAGAAAGTCGACATCGGCATTTCGGCTGCCGATACCGATGCCGATGCCATGGATCGTCTTAAGATGGGGTCAGAGAAAGTCAAACACATGGCCTACGCCTACACATGCTCATAACGATGATTTGCGTTCGATCAATGATACGTGGTATTGGCGTCTTATCGCGCTCGCCGCTATCAAGTTCCTGGGCTCAATCCGACCGAGGCGAGGGATGATACTATTTCCAACGCGAACGCTCTGCATCAAATACGGTCCGCTGCGACATCTTCCAGAGGCATCCACGATCGAGTTCATCGCGCGTAACACTTCTATTCCGGTCCCAAAAATCTATTGCGCGTTCACTCACAATGGCTGGACATATATCGTAATGCAAAGAGTCCGCGGCGAATGCCTTACATATAGCTGGAAGTCGAGATCGGCGGAGTCTCAGGCAACGATCCTACAACAGCTGAAGCAAATGATAGACAGTATGCGTCGTATCACACCACCCTCTCTCCAGCAATTGCCAATGCTCATGGCGGTATGCTGTGGGACTGTCGACTACCGGGAAAGTCCCTAACCTTTGGACCATTCGACAGCATCGGTTCTTTCCACCAGTATCTTCGAGGTGGCATAAAGTCTCAGTCCAGCGAATACCCGGTGGCCATCAACGAACTGGTACAACTTCATAGTCGAGAATGGCCCCCTCCCGTGTTCACTCATGGCGATTTGAGCAGTCTTAACATTCTGGCAGAAGGCGATACAATCACTGGCATTGTAGATTGGGAAACCGCTGGCTGGTATCCTCAGTACTGGGGATACACAACAGCATGCCAAGTGAACTTTCGTAACGCTTTTTGGCGTGCAGAAATCGAGAAATTTTTGGAGCCATGGCCCGAGGAACTGGAAATGGAGAAGCTAGAATAAGACAGACCTTTTTCGGAGACGTGTGACGCCTTCGATTCTATGTGCGAGAAACATAACTGGTTCATGGCCCCTTTCTGTGTCCACAGTATTACCCATCAATCACGGGATAGTCTCTGTGCCTTTAAGCGGGTCGTATGTGGAGGGCTTGCTTATGTCGAAAGATCTCCTTCCGTCAAAGCGATGGTCATGTCTCTTTCTCTCCATGTAGGCCATTGCTGTATTCCTTACCTTGGTCCAGTCAAGCTGACAAGTGCCCATAGCCCTTCCATCTTCCTCAAGGCGCTTGAGCGCTTCAATCACCCAATATACACGCATCGTATCAAATACGCCTTTTTAGCCTTAAGTCCAAATGTTGCCCTTTGGTGTCTCCGGGACACAGATCGATACGTGCTCTTTCCATCGAGGCGTCTCTATTCTTGCTGTCGGGCTAACCCGAGGTTGAAATCGAATGCTCACAGCGGTTTGACTGAGGTGTGCATTCGCAAGGCGGTTATTTGTAACGGTATGATGTAAGCCTTGCCAAACAAAGCAAGGGGCCATGGGGAGATAGCCCCACCATCATGGAGGCATATCATAGGCATCCGCATTTCTTGAATTTATAACGACACGTCTGGTCTCATATCCGTTTCTTATTCACATGTCTCTACGACTGCAGCCAGAATTGAGCTATCCGGAGCGATTGGCGACCTTCGACGGCTACTGGGACGATGCGGAAGCATCCGCCAGACAACTTGCCGCCACTGGCCATGTCTACGATCGACCTCCACTCGAAGCACTAGAAGAGGGATCCAGATGTATCTCATGCGCAGCATTTGCTCCACGTGTTGCCAGTGTCAGGATACTCGAAGGTCCCGTTGGAGATAATGTTACCGGCTTCGAACGCCACCCAGCTAGAGGCTTCAATCTCCATCACCCACAATGCACATACCTTCAGTCCAGAATCCCATTGGAAGTCCGCGTCGAGTCTGCAGGAACAGGCGCTCAATTCGTTGATCTGAGAAGCAAATTTGAGAGAATGTCGACGTATCAGCCTCCAGACTCTCAAGAGCAAAGTGCTACCACAGCGGCAGTCCAAACGTGCTCTTTCTTCACTCTGCCCACAGAGCTACGACTACAGATATACTCATACGTCATGCCCAAGTTAGACGCGGAAACCAAAATAGTGCCTCTAAATTATTCAGGACGCATTCTTACGGAGGTTGCCTATAGGAAAATAGGTCCTCGAGATGCCACCAAGACAAACTTGCTGGCCACCTGCCACGCAATCTACGATGAAGCGATAGAGATGATCTTCTCTAATATCACATACCGCTTTGCGACAAGCAAGGAGCTATACATTTTCCTTCGACGAATTGGTCACCGTGGCCGTCAATTGCTCCAGTCGGTCGACCTTGTGTGTGGTTGTCGGGAGGACGCCATTACCCTCGCTCTGCTAGCTTCGTGCCCGAAATTGCAGAGTATTACACTCAGATTCTCAAGGCCATGGCTCACGTATCAGTCGGCGCCTATCTGGGTCTTGGATGGCGTCGCATGCCTTCTTCAACTGAGTGGACTGCACGAGGTCAGACTCGAGCAGGCTTATAGCAGCAAACCATATTTGTCGTCGGCGTCCAAGGATGGTCAGATCGTGGAGAGAGAATTGAAGAGGCCGCGGGGCGCAAAAGGAGGCATTAGATGGGTTAACGGCATGATTGACATGTGACTGAAAATGGTCTGATTGGCGTGGACGAAAAAAAGGAGGCGTCGCAATCATGTGGCTGCTGATGATCGGGCTCAATCTGACTGCGCAGGTCGCCCATTCTGGATGATATGATGCCGAGCGAGTTCCACTTCAATAATCGCTTCAAGTGCCTCATGCTGGCTCCTCAGCCTGGTGTCCCTCGACCTGACGCTGACTCTTGCTGGCTCACAGGTAATCACACTTTCATAAGAAGCCATCAGTACCTAGACCAGAGATGGCGACTCTGGCCCAGTTGAATGAATGCCGCCGACATATTCAGCATCTTCGAGATCTACTCAACAAGCAGCTACGCGGATCTACACCTCCGATTCGAAGCTGGCTACAACAAGAACATGCAAATGCCATAACACTCAACCCGGACCTCAAAGCAACACGACTACTTCTACGCCAAGTCCGCCGATGACCAAGTCTTAGCCATAAAGTCTTAACCCAAAGACTTCATGAAATCCTCGGACGCAAGCTTTCACCATACTCACTGGTGCGATCAACCGTCACGGACTCGGCGATCAATAAGAATCAGGCCGAAAGCTCGGCCATGATAACAATTACGGCCGCCATCTATCTGCCTTTACGTCTCACGACAAGCGTCTCCGGTACGAAGATCAGAGAACTTAGCTAGTCAACTCCCTCCGTGGTGGATGGTGCTCGTGGCAATCGCGTCGGCTGCGTTTCTATTGTACCTGTTCACGAGAGATAGCGGACTAGACAAGAAAAGCCGGTCTCAATGAATTCGTACTAAGCCTAGCATCAAGCTTTACGACAATGACAACGAGGAGCGAGAATGAAGATAAAGCGTCCACATCCATGTCTTTCTATATAAACGAGTGTGATATCCCCTAAAGAAAGAGCATATCCCAAGTTGGAAAAAATCAAGAACCATGAATCCAAAACACTTTTCATTTGATTTCGAAACCAGCTGCTCCACGCATTAGTACAATCGATAGACCGATCCACAAGTATCTGGACGTCCAGCAGAATCCTCCGCGCGGGCCCCCTCATCCCTAGCTGGTTGATGCTGTCGATGATTTTATTATTTTGAGATGGTTCAGTAGCGGTGTCCAAAAGGTAGGATGATTGGCGTTTGATGGTGCTTGGGCGAAGCCGCGAGGGCGAGGGCAAAGATTACGGGATACGTTGTAGCGATTGTTGTGCTGTGGGAGGGAGAGATGTGTTGGATAGCTCGAATGCTGGTGTTCTGGAGATACCTTGTCATCTGTTGCATCGACCAAGCGATTTATGTACTGCTCACTCGCCATGGCGACGGAAGTGTCTAAGCAGCCCGAACATGTTTAATAACTGGTATTGCCAAATGCCCGGCTAACACTCCTTACGGCCCTACCATCTATCCAGTCTGTAGGAATGTTTTCATTGCAACAGCTCTACGTGCTGTCACCGAAGCATTTCCAAGTTCACACAAGCACCATGAGTTCGTGTTGGCTCTAGATTATTGTCCTGTAAGGACTTAGGATAGTTATTTCAAGCTGCATCACCAAACCCTCAGCCAGAACAGACGCGAGGCAAATCGCTTGCGGTGAAGAAATTCAGGCCTATTAAAAGAAGGCATGCTAAGAGACGGCATTGACGAAACACCAACAAGGTAGACATATGCCGCTCATACCTTACCGTGACACATGCCTGTTCCACCATAATAATTGCTTTGATAGAAATATCGGGTTGAGTTACCGATGGATGGACGGGCGTCCCGGTCATGTTTCTGACTGATCACAATATCCCGCTGCCTTTAACCAGCGCCCGGAGTTCGAGACCAGCGTCGGTTTGTATTGAACTCCACCGGCGTGGTCGTTGGCTCGAATTGAACTTATCATTGCTTGGCTTGGACAGTGCGAGTTCCTCCGATTCCGTATGGCCCTTTACACAAAAGGGTCTTGGACAACAAGATTGAATTCTACTACCGCGAAAGCCTCAGACACCGTCATCGAAGCAAGTCCATGCTAAACTATCTCTCGTATGCAATTAAGTACGAATCAATCGTCCCATACCGAGTCCGCGAAACGCCGCATGCTCAGAGCCGCTAATTGCAAATTCATCTGTCGTTCGTCTCTTCGTCTCAATATAACCTCATGACAATCATAAGTTTCTGCCGTCTTCGTCATCAGGGTGCTCAGCGTCTTCGAAAAATCAACCTCTCATTTCCCTTTCTTTGATCAAAGATCATTATACCCCAAAACCCTCTTCGGCAACCCGCGATCCGCAACAGCCCAAGTCCACGCCCGTCCCGCCTCTCCAAACCACAGACTCTCCGGTGCAGAACTCTTCTCCAGCATTCCATCCTTCTCCATACTCTTCATCTCATGACCAGTCGTATACGTCAGAAAGTGTTCAAACTCCTTATCCTCTAACGCCAGCGCATTCCCAGAAATTCCATGACATAAACAAGGTTCTTTCGTCAGTAACCCTCTCTCTAATATACATTCTCGACCTTTGGTAATGGCTTTGGTGATGCGATCTTGGAGGGCTGGGGAGAAGAATTCTTTGATCGACTCCAAAGAAGCTACGACGCCTGGTGCTCCGTGACAGATTTGAACGAGACGGTCGCGTTCGGGAGGCACGCTGGAGGGGAAATTTCCGGATTCGGGGTATTGGTATGTGAGTAAGACGGCGAGTTCGGCTTCGAGTTTCTCGGCGTATTTTTTGGGATCTGTGAGGACGATTTGGGTTATGATTCCCATGGCGCCGTGTACGGCTCCGATGTAAGTCTTCCCTCTCCATTTCCAGGGTCGTGGGGAGTCGAGGATAGCTTCCACCACGTCGTCTTGGTTGTCGGTTATGATCTGGAGGGTCTTGGGGTCGTCCATGAAACTTGCTTTTACCATGCGGAGCAAGTAGAGGTAGCCTGCTCTTCCGTATAATAGTTCATTCTCTGTGCCTTCTTCGAGGACTTCTGCCGAGTAATCGCAGAGGTTGTTGACCATGTCTACGTCTTTGCTTGAAGCTGCGCCGATGGCGAGGAGGGAGAGAATGTCGTCGGTGATGCCGCATTTCCCTACGCTAGGTCCCGGGTACGAGGTTATGTTGTCTTGGGCATGCTTCAGGTAGGCTGCACTCCATGTTCCTAGGGCGTGGCCTTCGATGACCATGTCTGGGTACATTTGTTGTAGGACGAGGAAAACGTAGGCGACTGAGACGGGACCTTTGAATAGGCCGCCGCCGGGCTTGACAGAGGCTGGAGGGTGGTCGGTTACGAGGCGTGTGAGTGAGGCTTCGAGCTGGCGGCGAGGGTCTGTATAGTGGCATAGTCAGCCAAGCGTCGCGTGTCTGGTCTCTGGATGAGATTGTAGTACCTCGCCGTGCCAACGGCGCATCGTTCTTGAAGTATCGCGGCGGCATCTTGCAGCCAATGTTTGAATGTCAAGGCCGAGCAGTCGAGATCGAGATGCAAGATGCAAGATCACAGCCGCATCACTTCTGGCCGGTTGTCCACCATTCCACCACCAGCACCAGATAGACAGCGCAACACGTCCACAAAAGTGTTTTCTGTGCTCCGCATGCGCGTCGGTGAGATGTCGGTGAGCTGTGGTGCAGAGCGCAAACTTCTGGAAGTGATCGCTGCCTCACATGAGTGTGTCAAACAAGGTGATCCTGGTATGCGATCAGAAGTGACGTCGGCGCGAGAACGGACTCAACTCCGGCACTTTTCACAGGCTCGGAGATCATTCACTTGGTACCTACAATTGGCTTCGTAGATCTACAGCGTGTCGCTGCAGGATTCGACAGGGTCTATACGCTTATAGAGCCAGGGAAGGCATGCGTGCAATGGTGCCCCAAATTCGTTCTCGTCATTATTATATCCCATCTACAGCAGTACAGAGCCAGCAAGTACTAGTGCGATATTTCCTTTCTCGTAGCCACCCACCCACTCGTTGCGGTATCCTGTATCGTGATCCATTCAATGCACCAAACTCCTTTTCTGTGCAGTATTCGAGCCCAAAGAAGCTTCGGACTGCCTCTACCTGATCCGGTCGAGACGGGCACGGTTGACAGCAATCTGGTCATCGACCTTGTCAGTCTTGCCAATGATGCGGTCGATATGCTTGTTCTGGCTGTCGATCTCGTCGCCCATGGCCTTTCCAAGCTGGTTCAACGTACGCGCTCCACGGTGGATGGCTTCTAAATTGTCGTCTATTTCATTCTCCATCTCATCGTCTTCGGAGTCTGCCTCGAACTGGTACTTGGCTCTGTCGGCGAGATTGCGGTTGGCATTTGCACGCACAACATTGCCATTAAGGTCACGTTGCTGCTGCTGTTGACGAGCGGCCGAGCTGTAAGCTTCAGACCGTGTAGCATCAGCTTGCCGTCGCTCTGCTTGGTGTTTCTCCAAAGCAATTGCGTTCGCCGCCTCCTCGCGCTTCCTAGCGGTGAAGGGGTTCGCAACGTGCACAGCAAACATGGACCTATTCAACGTCTTCAACTCGCGGGCTTTTTCCTCAGCAAGCCGGTTCTGATTAGACGCCATGTCGAGGTTGCGTTCGGTGTTGTGAATTCGTTCTCCTTGTGCTCCTAGTCTTGCAAGCGTCTCTCGACCTGTGGCTTCTGCCTGCTCTGCAATCCTTCGTGCATTGCGGGTAGAAGCGACGTCTTGCTGTTTGATGAATCTGATCTCCTGCTTTGCTGCCTGGACATCCTCTTCTTCCTGCTCCTCTGCTGTCAACTCACGGGCGGGACCTGCGCCATAACCGCCAGAAGTTTCACTAGAGCCGTACCCGCCAGCATTACTGTAGCTATTGTCTCCACCAGACTCTTGTGCGGCGTACAGGTCAGAAGGCTTGTTCGCCGCTCTCTGCGCTGCATCGCCAAACAAAGCATTCCTGCCAGCATCTGTGCCCATTGTCTCATTGCTGTTCGTTCTTCCAAGTCCACCATATCCACCTGCCCTCGACTGTGAAGGCCCCGAGGATGTGCCATATGGATCTGATCCATAGCCACCATACTGTGCCTGCTCCTGTCTATATCTGGCTTGTGGAGCACCTCCATAACCACCTTGTGGAACCGGGCTCTTCTCGTAGCGGCTCGGGGTTGGTCCGTTGCCATACGCCGGGGGAGCAGTACTCTGGCTGCTTATGCTCAGGTTGCCCATGCTACTTGTGGGAGGTTGTGACGAGTGCAGGCTGGCGCTGCTCTTCATGTACGGGTCATTCTGGGCCTGGTTCGCATATGGATTGCTGCCGCCTTGGGTGGCATAAGGATTGCCGCTCGACTGTGCCGGCACGGCATAGGGATTGTTCGAAGCAGGAGCTGGCGAGCCTGATTTTGGCGCTTTGGAGCGACTGCCGAACAGCGACTTCTTCTGCGAGTCGAGGTCGCCGTCTTTGTCGGATTTCTTGAGTCCGAAGGGCATTGTGGTGGTTTCGACGCTGCAAAGTTTGGGTTGGAGGTTTGTTGTTGTAGAAAGGAAGGGTAGCGACTGCGAATGTGGTGGAGTTGGTCGGAGTTTCAGATGTCGATCAGGAGAGGAGTAGTAAGTTATCGGTGGAGGGGAGGGGGATGTTGGACGTGGTCGTGTGCGCTGAAAGTGTGGCTAAGGCTTTGAGGTGGAGTGGACCCTTGTCAGAAGCCGCCAAGCCATTGGGCTGGAGCACAAAGACAGCTTTCTGTCCAACTTCCAGGCATCAGAATAATTGCGATATGTCCGAGCCTCGTTGTGCTTAAAATATGCCCCCCTTTGTGAAGCTGTGAAGTGGAAGCTCAACGTCCCCAAGACGTGTGGACGCGGACGTAGAAAGTACACCCTCTTACAAGCTTTCGGGGAACACTTTTCTAGCTTTTCGAGCCTGTCTTGCGCCTGAGTCACTAGAATTGAGCAGTGTCGTTGGTTAGTCGGCCTGTTGAATGCTTGTAACGATTCACAATCTACCACTCGAACGGTGAGTTTAGGCCCTGTCTGCTTGCCACCGATTATAGTATAACCGAGCCGAGTTGTTATAACCTCTTCTTATAATCGCCCTTGCCTTATTATAATCGATTATTGCTTCCTCGCTGTCTCGCTATGTCTATAACCTCGCTAAGTTGTTGCTATATATAGCAAGATCTATAAAACCTACTCTTAAGGTAGTTTTATAGCTATTCGTACGCCTAGTAGACTTCCGGCGCGGCGCTATAGTATCTACCTCTTACTATAGAATAAAGCCGTATATAATAATAGTATAGCGATTTCGAGGTATTATTAGTACGATAGAGCGCCTACTATCTATTATATACGCCGTAGGCGCGATTTCCGCGATAATACCGCTATTTATCGAGGAAGCGCCGAGGCTTCGAAGGCGCGCGATATATCGACCGCTAGGACGTATAACGACTTAGATAGAGCGCAATAAGTTAGAGAAAGAGGTATTTAAGATAACGAGAGGGCCGGCGCGGTAATATTATAAGCGTACGCGACTAAGGCAACCGGTATTACGCGCGTTTATCGATAAACTATAGAAGGTTAGATTAAGAGATAAGAAGTATTTAGTAGAAGCGAGGGTTATCGTATTTCTCGTCTATATAGCGTATAATAAGACCTGCGCCGAGTTAGCTAACGACTTCGGTATTACGAGAGATACGGCGCGGCGGCTAGTAGTAGAGGTATCGAAGTTAGTATATCGGATAGTAAAGGAATAGATTAAACTACTATAGAAGGACGATATTCTACTATAGGCAGTAGGTAATAGAAGCTATCGATTTTAGCTATACTTTAAAGGTATTATAGGCGTAATCGATAGCACCTTATTATAGGCATTTCCGTCGAAGATTAACTAAAATCTATAGCGCTATCGGAAGAGTTACATTACGTAGAATATAATAGCGGCCTACGACTCGAAGTTACGCTTCTTGTTTTTAATAACTAGTTACGAAGGCTCTACGATAGACAGTACTATATTAAGGAAGGCCTATTAGTTAGGCTTCTAAGTACTAGATAGATACTTCTACCTTACCGACGGTAGTTATTCCTTTAAAGATCGACGACTTCTAGTACCTTATTAAAGAGTACGGTATTATCTTCGAGAGTAGGGTAAAGCGGAAGAACGACCTACTAATTATAAAGAGATATTTAACCTCCGATATGCTTAGCTTCGTAACTGTATTAAGCGTGCCTTTAGCGTACTAAATCGGCGGTTTAAGGTTATTCGAGACAGTCTAAATCGGTAGACTATTTAATAGCAGAATCGGTTTATTACTACCTATACTATTATCTATAATTTTATTATTTCTAACGGTAGACAACCGCTATCGAGCGAGCCTAAACTAGTACTATCTAATGCCGAGTTAGAGGCCGAAAGAGAGGCTAATTAGACAGCGGAGGTCTACGAGGATAATAGGCGGTATACTAGGGGTATAACTAATAAAAGTTAGGCGGATTATCGTAATAGGATAGCGAAATGGATATAGGCTAACTATAAGGCGTAGTCGACAAAGACAGGTATAGATATAAGGGCGCAGAAGCAAGAACTGCCGGTTAGAGTATAGCGAAGGATATAGCAAGGATAGCGGATAGTCGTTAGATGTCTATACGAACAGCGCAGGCTAGTTTTAGTAATAAATTTGGTAAGGAAGTCGTCTCCGAGTTCGAAGGGGGTATATTCGGACATTACTAGCGCCTCTTTAATATACTCTCGTTCTCCTATCGAAATTCTAGTAGGGTTAAATAGCAGGTTCTTAGCACTAGTTTAAGATATTAGTATTCGAGTCGAGGGGAGATAGCTTTTTTACATATAATAGCACCTTGTACGTAACCGTAATTTGTTAGCAAAAATTAATAATACCTCTATACAAATCGATAGTATAGACGTTAGCGTGCATTTCAGTCGAAAGATTGTTCCTATACGCCGAATTCTCGTATCTAACCGCCTATTTATAAGCAAAATATTATTAATAATATTATATTCTCCTACTATTCTTAAACCTTCCTACTAACTACTACTTATTGCTACTAACTATACTATATATTGCTACCCTCTATTATCCGTAGGTAATTATTCTAACGGTCGTTAGCGCGCAGATCTATTAAAACGGCGTAGAAATACTCCTTAAACCACTTACTAGTAAGGCTTATCGCTACCTCTACGTAGTCGTAATCGGCGCCCTTCTTCGCGACCTCTCTTACTAACAACATCCTATACGGCATTAGTAACTCATTCTTCGCCTATATCTTCGGGTCTAATAAGCGCTTTGTTACTATTCTAACGGCGGAGCTAGTAGTAGCATTATTAGCCTATTTCTTCGCGAGGGCGGTAGTAGTATTAGCCTGTTTCCTCGCAAGGGCGCGCTCTTCCTTTCCGTCCTTTACAACCTCCGCTACTATTAGAACGAGAGGCTCGAATGCCTTCTATAAGGCCTTAGCGGTACTAGTGTTTTTCTAAGAGGCTTTATCTACTAATTTATAGACACGATTAGCTTCCTTCTGCATCTTCTTCTAGTGCTTTTCCTACGCCTTCGCGGCCTTTAATACTATTAATTGCTCTTCCGTAAACGACTGCTCCGATAGCTCTACTACCTCGTCGTCCTTACTATCTTCCGATTCTTCGCCGGATGCGCTACTTTCCGCTAGTTCCTTAGTAGTAGCTATATAGTCGCCTACCGCTATCTCCTAACCGATTAACTCGTCTATAATCTTATAATAATCGGGCAATTCGTTACGGAAGGTAGTATACCTTAGATTAGCGCTAAAGTAGTCGTCTTCTATATCCGACTTAGCTATTAGAGGCATACTATTCTAACCGCTAATATACTTTAGGTAAGCAACCTATACACCCTAATCTCTCTTAATAGAACCCTATTTGTTCTTTAAAGCGGCATTATTGCGATTAGTACTAAACCTCTTATTTATAAGGGTAGCGACGTTACGAAGGTCCTTAATCTAGAAATTATTAGTATCTGTTCTACGGCTAACCTTCTAAAGCTCTAACAACTGCTTAAGGAAGTATTTAGTCTATTTAGTCGTCTAGTATATAGGCGTTATCCGAGCCTGCTTTAGAGTAGGTGTTTGACTCGTTGTTACTATACGTTTACGAGCCCCTTTAGTAGAAGGCTTCTTAGTAGTCTTCGGCGTCTTAAGTTAAGCGGATTAAGATGCTATTATAAGCGGTTACTTAGTAGAAACTAATAGAGAGACTCACTGCTTTACTATACTAATATTTATATAGTAAAACACTATCTAAACTAGTAGTACTCCTCCCTCCGGGTTCGCTTATACACCGCTCGAATACGCCCTCGTATACCGCTCGAATATACCTTCTATACCGCTCGAATACACCTTCTACACCGCTCGAATACACTCTCGTAGAGCGACAATCCTTATATAAGAGCTGAATTAGGTAAAGAGATAGAAGAAGCCGAGCCGCAGTACCGAGAGGTTTAAAAAGTAGATACATAACACCTAGCGCTGTCTGGTTATAATCGATTATAAGAGGCTATAATCGACTGCGGTTATAAGGTTATTATAACCTGACAGTTATTGCTATAATCGGTGGCAAGCAGACAGGGCCTTAGGAACCTTGTGTTCCTTCGGTTCTTGAAAGAAGGTGTACAATAGTCAATGAAGTACTGTACTATGCTGGCCGAATGAATGTTCGATGGAGCACAGCTCGGCCCAATCTATCTAAGTTATGGTCTATGTGAGCGGCAGAGCTAGATCGAGTTCGACGCGACATCTGATGTAATCGTATCAGTGCATCTCCCTCAGCTTTTTCATGGCAGCCGGCTGATATCCGTTCCAGCTCGCTGTTCCCAGAAGCCGACGATGCGGTTCATGAAACTCCAGACGCCTCGCTAATATCACTTCACTACAAGTACAATCATCTTGCGGGACAGCATCCGACTAAGACGGAACGCAAGTCAGCAAACGTCGGCGGCCTGATTCACACTCGGTCTTCTTACCTCAGCTGCGGGCCCTTTCTAAACGCTATCCGCTCTCTTAGGCGGAGCTGCCCATTGCAAGATCTTCTCACTCTTCGGCGTCATAGCTCCCGATGGCATACTTGCCGCCGGAACTCGCAGACCTCCAGAGGCTGTTGGAGGAGCTTTGGAGGCGGTAGAAGAGTCATTCTCCTGACTCGGAACGTTGCCATTGGTCTTAGATTTGGTGTCTTTAGCAACGGCTCCAGCACGAAGTAAAGCGATCACGCTCATCAGTTTCTCCTTATCAGGACTTGGAATGTCCCTTTGCACCAACTTGGCCGCCTCATCCAGGAACTTTCCTGCTTGGCCTGGTGAAGCTTGGGTGGCCAAAATGTTGTAGGCATAGACTTTAGTGTCGGCTTGGGAGTGCTGATTGTGGACGATGCGAATGCAGAGACCGCGACACACCTCGTAGCGCCTTAGGTCACGCTCTTGCATGGCGAGGGACAGCAGCTTCTTGCAGTCTTGCTCAGCACTACGGATCTCAGATTGGAGGCGAGAGAGATGTTTGACGAATGGATCGTCTTCGGATCGAGACTGAATACGAAGTTCTTCCAGAGCGCGATTAACCGAGTTAAGGTCCGGGCAAGTGTTCTTGGAGAAGATAGCCTTGACGTTGGGTGTCTCTGGCGTTGGACTCTGAGTGCCGCTACCGCTTCCGAGGCTAAATCGTTAGTTGGACGAGCTAAGATTTCTGTCATGCTCATGCATACCTGTGAGGCGCAGACGACTTCTCGTTACGGTGAAAAAGACTGCTCGAGGAGCGATTGCCGTTGTTTCCAAGGCCTTTGAAGATTTTCAGCGAGCCATAGCCCGAGGTTTGTCTCTTCAACTCTGGCTTGACATCTAGCTTCAAGTCCGGCTTGTTCTGCTTGGAAGTAGCAGTCGGATTGGATGGTGGCGCTTTCGTGCTTGATGGTGATCCTGAAGGTGGTCCGTTCTCCTCACAGCTAACGGCCCTGCTACCAGTCGCTGGCTGAGATAGTTGCAAGTCGCCACCTTCGCCATGATCTGGTGTGACCTTGATCTCGGGCGAGGTGACACTGGAATTGGTCTGCGAGCTAGCTGGCGATGCCATACTCGAGTTTGGTGTTTGCTTTATAGCATCTGGTTGTATTGTAGGTGCAGGATTAATTTTCGATGTTTACGATGAAGTCGCGGTGAGTGCACGCTTCGGAAGGACCAGCTCGTGACAATCGATGGAGTGAAGCACGAGGCAAGTGCAGTGCCACGTTCCAAGTAAGTGCGCATCCAAGGGTTCAAGTGATCCCCTTAACGTCTCGGCACGGGGTTGTATCATACGGATGAAGCTTGTGATATTGAATTCAGTGTTCTCGAGGTAAGATGTGGTGGTTTGTGCGCCTGCTGATTAAGACACGCTTTGACCATACCATTCCGAAATTTCTGTTCGCGACATTTGGCTCGCTGTGTATAATGGCAATTTTCGGGAGATGGTAGGAGCTCTGTGAGTTGACGCCATGGCAGAGGCCTCAGAATTGAGGATGATTGTCACCAATGCGGAAGTCTTTGCCGCCTTCTTTGTTGTGTTGGCGGGAAGCCACCAGCCAAGACTGCCAAGCCCAATGTTCTCCAGCGATGCAAGGAATGCTGGAACAACTCATATTATTAACTTACCAAACGCCAAGATTGAGGGACCTTGCGGGAACTGACTCAGTGACTCCTGCATTGTCGATAATCAGGCCTGGCCGCCTAGACTATTGTGGACACTAAACGAACGTCTGCCTCTCAGTCTTCTATCGTCACCACTTTCTGTCCTTCCGTCCAAAAATTTCCGAAAACTTCCAAACGCTTAGATATTCCAGCACTTCATGCTGCCACAGCTGCCGCTGTTGGCAAATCCACAAGAGTTGGCCGTGATCGAAGAAACAGTGCCTGAACAGCCCTCTCCGTTGTACACAGCACACTGTCCGCCGCTCCTCAAGTTGAAAGATGATGGTCGAGTGAAAGTGCCAGAGGAGCACGCTCTCGGACCTGTGGAACCGCCATCGGTGAACCAGCCGCAGTAGCTAACGTCTCCATTGATCAGTGCTCTCTTGCGGCAGGTTCGAAGTCCACTCTTCCCACGTCTTCTCTTGATCGCTTAACCACTTGAATCGATATCGTCAAGACTCTGCGACATTCTAACTTGCTCAGCTTCCAACTATAGGCATACGATCGAATCATACCAATGTAGCAAGTTTACCGCTGCGAAGGACCTCACGTCTTGAATGGTGCGGCGGATATACCATTGAGTAGAACAAGAGCCATCATCGATGTGTCAAGGATGTGGAGGAATAGCTTAGTGTTGACAAGCAATGTAGCTTCTATAGGACATAAGGGCAAAGCATTCAACTGGTACAGTGGTGTCTTCAGCGATGTTGGTTTTGAGTGTGGCTGATGGGCCGTCATACCGGGATTAGCTTGCTCCATAGTGTCTGTCCATGCTACAGCGAGCCGAACTCGCAGAGCAAGTCCGCAGGCTGAAAGATCCACAGAAACTGCCGAATCGTGGCCTTGAGACGGAGTTCGTGCCGGTATTACGAGACTGGCTAGGGCCAAGTCGGGCGATGAAGGCGCTCTTACAATCTTGCAGGTTTTGAGCAAGTGTCACGGGCGGTGAATCGATTGAAGATCGAGCGACGGAGCATCTGCAGAAGAAGACGTGCAACTTGTTCTCGACCTGGCTCGGGAGATCCCCGGTTTTACGTCGTCTATCCGGGGTTTCGTCAGTCACTTCATACCCGCTGTCGCGGGGGTTTAAGCCATACGTAAAATCGCCTTTTCCTAGTAGGCCATACGTAAAACTCGATACTGTCGATGTTCCAGTCCTATATAGGTATCTAGGTCTATACAGTATTAAACCGCGAGTCTAAATATCGTATTAGTAAGGTTATCCGAGTGTATAGTAGCTATAGACCTTACTATCGCTATTTCTTATATAATCCTTAGTAGGCGCGTCTACCTTATTCTAAAGCGTGTATTCCTCCTGTTTCTTATATTCTACTATACGGATCGTATATAAAACTCGATATAGGGCGTAATAAGGGTAAAAACGTAAAAAAAATATAAGCTAAGTAGTTAACTAAGATAGAGAGGATAGAGAGGGTAGTAGATCGAGTCGTTTCGAGGTACCGCGAGTTAGAGGCTAAATCGGACAATAAGAAGGTTAGTATTCGAGCGCTTTATAAGAGTAAGAAAGCAACTAGCCTATATTATCGTATTTACTAGCGGTTAAGGGGCCGTAGATCGCTATTTAATTATTCTTAGACGATGTGAGAAGGGTATATTAGCAGGTAGATAGGGTAGTAGTAGGTACGAGTAGTATTCGATAAGGATCTAGAAGGAGAGGGAGGAAGGCAGGCAAGTTAGCCTAACGCTAAGCGCTAAGCCCTACCTAAGGCACCGAGACCCCGGCTTTACTCGGCCTAACTATATACTAATTACGTATAGCCTCTTTAGCCCTAATATACGCTTCCCTTCTAAAGGCCGCGCCCTCGTAGCCTATTAATTTCGACCTCTATTGCTACTAACTTAGCAAGTCTAATAGACTGCTTAGCTCGCGCTAAATTAAACACTTAACTACCTAATTATATAACTATATCAAACCTCACTTTTTAATATAACGTCTAACTCTAACTGCGCTATCTTTGTATATAATAAAGTAAAGGGACATAAAGCTACAAGAATTAAGGGCTATCGACTAATTATAATACGAGCGCGCCTTCCCTACTATAATAGGTAGGCGTACGAGGTATTGTAGTACTGCCTCCGTTCTAAGTAATATCGTTCCGAGTTCTCTACGTCTACTCTAAAAGACCTAGAAATGTCCGCTCCGAGGGTTTGTCCGTTCCGAGGGTTGTTCTTATTATTACGAGGACTATTATTTACTGTCGTAGTTTCACTAGCCCTAATTGGTTAGGTTTAGTAGCCTTCAATTGTTAATCTTATCTTATCTTTTAAAAAATACAGCTCGTCTAGTTTCTATAGGTAAAGGCTATTATAAGTATAGTAGTAGAGGTTCGCCTCGCTTAAAGGGCTAGATAGATCGAGGAGTAACCTATTATCCGCAAGATCGACCCTAGCTAGCTTAGCTCTATAGTTTTGCCTTTAGTTAGTTAGTCTATTAGTCTACTTAATCTTTTAAGCGGCTTAAAGTTTTAACTTAGCCTTAAAGTTTTAATCAAACTTTTGACAGGTTTAAGCTTTAACTTAGTTAGTATAGCGCCTTAGGCTCGCAGTATAGGTAAGGTTGTATCTATAGGCGTAGTAACAATAGCAGGTAATATTAATAATAGCGGCGCTAGTCGTCTTAGCGCTAACTTTACCTCGCTTTTAATCTTCTTCTTTAACTAATAACAACTCGGTAACACCGTTACTAATATAGCTATATCCTTCCTTCCTTAACTAGCGATATACCCCGCAACACTATTACTAATATAGCCGCGCCGGCCGCGCCGATTGCCTAGGCCTCGAGGCCTCGACGGAATAAGGGAACAAGAGGGGGACCTATAGGGCGCGTTAGTAAAGAGGTAGAGTCCTTAAAAGAGCAGGCAATTAGTTAACGCGTTATAGCGCGCTTGTTAATACTCGGTGCGCGTTCACTATAGTAGTATAGTCTTATTATCCTTTGTTGCTAATAATTGCTTGCTTCTAATTAGTTAGCTAATAGCACCCCGGGGGTAGTATTAATCCTAGGCCTTAATAGTAACATTATAAGCTTTTAGCCTTCTTCTTATCCTTTACGCTAGTCTAATACTCATTTAACAACTCGGTTATGTCCTTAAAGGAGTTTTTAGCTTCCTATAAGTCCTATTCTAGTAAATAGCCTTGCTATCTTAATAGGTACTCCTTCTTGCCTTGCCTAGTCCGATAGTTTAGGATACGTTCTATAGACTATAGTTCTTCGCTATTAGCTAAGACTTCTTCTAACTTAGCAGGCGCTTTATCGCCTTCGCGTTAGTAGTACGGTTTAAGGAGGGAGATATAGAAGGTATTATAGATAGTGTAATAAGGTAGAAGCTATAACTAGTAGGCCTAGCTATTGCCCTTCGGTTCTCGGATACGGAATAGCCTAATATATCTTAGTACAAGCTTAGGCCTTGTTTTGCCGTTAGGTAATAGGTGTTTGCGGATACGGAGGTTCTTAGTGCTTAGTATAACTATATCGCCTTGCTTGAAAGTTATTAGCGCACAGTGTTTGTTACAGTAGGCCTTCTAATATACCTAGGCCTTTACTAGTTTGTTAGCTATCTTAGCGTAAATCTCTCGTATCTTTTAAACCCTCTTAATAGCCGCTAGTATCTTAGGTTAACCCGCTTCCCTTTCCTTACGCTCGGCCTCGAGCGATAGGTCTTGTAGCATAGCAGCGTTCTAGCCTATTACAGCTATACATAGTAACACCTTAGTTAATAAGTAGACACTGTTGTTATACACGAATTCTATAGGCTATAGGAGGTTAACCTAGTCGTTAGGGTTCTCGTTAATGTAACTGCGCAGGTACTACTATAGGGTAGTATTCTGCCTTTTAGTCTAACTATCTATTTGTAGATAGAATGCTATAGATAGGCGATACTTAAGTCTCAGCTATAGGCAAATCTTACTCTAATAGTAAGATATAAATGTCGAGCCCCGGTCGGAGACTATCCCCTTAGGGGTTCCTTAATAGCTATAGAAGATATTGTTCTATAACGACTTAGCTAGGTTAATAGCCGTCTAATCCTTTCGGGCAGGAATATAACGAGCGCCCTTAGTAAACCGATCTACGACAACTAGGATAGCATTATATATATCCTTGCTGCCCCTACGCTTAGTAGGCGGGAGGCCTATAATAAAATCCATTATAAGCTTAGCAAATAGCTTCTTTAGAATAGGGAGTAAAGATAACTCGCTAAATAGTAAGTGCTTTAGTGCTTTAACTCGTTAACACACGGTATACGTGTTTACGTAGTCCTTTATGTCCCGCTTACTATTTAGCTAGTAGTATATACGCGATAGTAGCTCGTACGACCTCTCTATACTATAGTAACCGGCAAGCTCACTATTATAGTATCGCTTAAGAAGCTCTTATCGGATCGAATATTTAGCGGGGATATAGTATCTGCCCTTGAACTTTAAATAACCTTTGTTATCGATCGACTAGTTGTTACTCTTACTAGATCGAGTCTTTCGCCTACTTACAAGCTTGTCGATACGTTTAGTAGCAAAGGCGTCCCTCTACTAAGCCCGTAATAGCTTATCTATAAACGATTGACTATCCCTATTTATAAGGTTATTTAATAGCACCCTCGCTATTAAACGAGGTACGTATTATATGCATCTAATAGTACTAGCAGCCGGATTAACTGCATTAGTGCTATCGCTATTACTATATATTGCGATGTCGACTAGGGAGTTATTATAACTTCTTCTATCTGTGTCCTTAGCCCTTGCCTTAATACGCACTATTAATACAGTAAGAGTATTAATATGCTTTAAGCCGTCGCGGAGTCCGGTAAGCCGCTTATCCTACGCGTGCTTATTAATAATACGGGCTATAGCAATCTTATACTATAGGGTTAGAAACAATAAATTAATAGATTGCTAAGTCCCGCTATCGTAATTAGGTCGCCTCGATAGGCTATTAGTAGGGTTGCTTACGCCTAGCCGATATAACACATTAAAATCAAACCTAGCGAGGTAGACGGCCTA